TTGGGGCCCCAAATAAAACAATCTGAGCCCCCCCCCAATATATATACTGTATACTATATATATATATATATATATATATATATATATATATATATATATATGCACGTTATACTAATAATATTACGAGTTTTAGAAATGCACATTTGATAGTAGCTTGAGTTGAGAGTAGCAGGAGCTTTAGTTGGTATGTAGGCCTAGATGTACATTTATTTTCATTAACAAAAACAGTACCTGTTTCTGTGAGTATCTGTGAAAATTATAACCGCCTCATCTTTCATACATTTGTAGGTCATGATAACCACAGGTACAGCACCTCACTACCATGGTAAAAAGCCTAACTATAGCCTAACTATATGGTTTCTATAATATTTGCTATAAAAACAGTAACCTGAAGACATTCAGTATAAGTACAAATGCACAACAAACAACTGATATGTACTGTGATTATATTCCATTACTCCTTTAATATGTTTAGTACATTATTGATATAATAAAATTCGATATGAGTATTCTACTATTCTGCCACAATACCATGGTTACTGTCAATGTTACTACAGTAAAACCATGGTAAATGATGGTGATTTGTAGATTGAAATGCCTTCTAACTGGATCGTTGATGCACAGGTGTTTCCGCATCAGTTGTTGAGAATGATCCAGCTCTGATTTATTTGGCTTTAAACTATTTAAATCGCATACCTATGTGATTTGTACAGGAGAAATCTGCGGTGAACTTGAGTGCGATCACTAGATCTCACAGTGCTGTTTAGTGGTCTCGACTCGATCGCAACTGGTCAGTGTAGTAAATTAATTTGCTTTAGCTCACACTGCTCTGTCTTTTCTTTTGAGCTGAGCTGATAAAATGTCAGTGCGACGTGCGGTTTCAAATGAGAAGCGCTATTTTATTTAGCTTTTGGCACGTTTGGCGTTTAATACGTATTTATCAGGCACAACAGAATGCTAACGCTTATCAGTTAGGCAGATTGGTAGAAAAAAAAGGTAGCAAAATATCCCTTTAGTTGCAGTCTGGAGCCCAGACTACTGTCAATTACACTTTTATTAAATTGTTTATTTTATTTAATTGCCTTATCTTGGCATTGTAAGCATATTAGTGGAACATTTTATACATCTTTATTTGACCTCAAAGCATATCAGCTCCCACGCTCCCGTGAACTCTGGCGCCCCCCACCCCAGGTTGGGAACCACTTGTCTAGCCAATTTACTACGCAGACCCGTTTAGGCCAACTATTGACTATTGAAACCATCAGAATCTGGGATTTCTTGCAGGGTTGGCTTGTTATTCCATATGGCAGGGGAATGTAATTCACAATTTCGTTTGCTATGTCCCAGACATTTCCTTCATACACACCGTCTGCCTTGATTAGACAGATATTTTCTGAACATGGAGGATTTTGAGACTGAGCAGCCCATCCATCTGAAGCACTTTGTTGCAGAGCGCATCAATCACAAAAGCTAAATTAGAATAAATATAGAAAGAAGTGTTTGCTCTCAACACCGGTTGCTAGGTGACGACCATTGGCAGAATGTTGCGATGGAACGGTGAGGGCACTCGGAGATTTAGTGGCTGCAGTAAAAAGACAATTACAGCCCTTTAACACAGGTCAGCGGTTCAGGGGTGGCCACATGCCTCGTGCAGCACTGGCCTTCATTCAACAGGCAAATACTTCTATAAACAACACCATCCTACATATCTACTTGCACAAAAAGCAATTACAAGCACTCGTGCTAAATAAATATTATGTTTATATGCCAGGAACATGTATATTTGGAGCACTGATTTCCAGTATGTCCTTGATATTCTTGAGGCCTTGAAAGTTTTTATTGGTGGTGGGAATACGGTACATTTAAATGCTTGTTATAATTGAGCCTTTGGGCTCTACATTGATCATTACAGAGAAACCTTAAATGATTTTAACAGCAGAGAATAAGTGCCTCATGCTGATATATTTCCCTGTTCTAATTAGAAAGTAATGATATTTCCATAAAAGTACTGTAATAATGGAGAATGTAAAAGGGCACAGACTGTATTGGTATTCTCTGAGCATCGATTGAAGCATCTTTTCAAGGGTAAGACACTAGTAATCAACTTCAGCTCCGATAGATGCCCTCTTCCAAACAGACAGCCCTGCAAACAAGACCAGCCTTTCAGCAAGTTTTCACACTTAAATATTTGCCGATAGCCCTTTTCAAGAAAGTTTTCTCTCTTTTTTGCTGTAGTTGGAGAAAGTTTGGAAATTAATAAGCCTCAAGTTTCTGTGTGTTTGAAGGCAAAATACATATAGCTGATTATTTTTAATATTTTATGTGCTGTTTTGCTTACTGAAAAACATTCTCTTATCACTTGCTTTCAAAGTATGAGCAGATTCTCAGCCAGTCAGACTGTCAAACTGTAATAAACTACAAAACAGATATAATTAGACTATAACGCTCAGTGATTCCCATCCAACAGCTTGCAGGGGGTTTTGGATTCACTGTTCAGATCAAGAGTCTCTATGATTTCACTCTTTAACTGTTCTAATTTATGAAAGGCAAACAAGCTCAGCTGTCTTATTAAAGGAAGAACTGACAGAATCTGTTGTGAAAGATTATATTAAATGATAGGATCATATCAGCATTTTTATATGTAGGCTATTGTATCGGCCAGTCCTGGATATTTAATTGTTTTTCTCTATTTTAAGATTTAGGTAGTCATTTAGCACAAATACTTCTGAGTTGGTGTGTGTATAGTTTTGAATGTTTTCTTTTTTAAACAAAACCGTATCAGTTGTTGGGCAGAATTGCAATATCAGAACACACATTTGTACAAACATTTGTGAAATATTGCACTCCTTAAAGACAAAATCTGTGCTGAAGACATGAAAACTCAATTCTTAAGGTCCTTGCACACCGAGTCCGAAATTTTTGTATGCGTTTTTTCGTATTCGTCATCCTAAAAATTTGTCACACACAGAAACTTTGCACACTGAGTCCGATGCGTATTAAGTCATCCGTTGCAGAAACAAAATCTTCAAGCATTTTTTTCTTTGCGTATAAAAAAACTTACTCAGAGATTTGGACTTTCACTTGGAGTTTTCAGCCAGCTTTGTATTGTTACAGTGTTTGTGGTCTAAGTAATTTAACAATGTGTAGCCTATTATTTGGTTTGTGCTACCTGCACCAAGATATCACTGTTTATTTGACAGCTCCAGGGCTTTTATGAAAACTACTTCCACACTTGTGTATTACTTCTCATGGATACTCTGATCAAGCACAGTG